GCTTGTCCCAGGTCAACTTGAGAGGCCTGGGCTCCTGGGGATTGCCAACAACTCTGGCCTCATCCCAGCCACGGCTTGCCTCAGACTTGGCAGGAGGGCTGGTGCCAGAACTGGACGTGATTGCCATGTCAGCCCCTGCGTCCGACCAACTCTAGCAAGAGCTTGGGCTGTACACGCGCACAGTCATCAATCCCTGGAGGATCCCCTGGCACTCTGCAGATGAGCCTCTACACTGATGAAGAGAAGGCGGGCTTTTGCCGATGAGCCATGTGCCACTGGAGAAGATTGTTCGGCCGCAATTCTGCTGAGGACAGGGCATGAGGTATGAAGTCTTAGCATGCGCTGGGAAGTGCGAATGGGCACTTGCGTGACTTGAGAGATATCCGACGCGAGGCAAAGGCATCCGAGTCTGTGACTTTGCACGTGGACTGGCTGGAGACACATGGCCAGAGTTAGTCTGCATGGTGTCATGACAGATAACATTGTCGGGACCAGACCGGAGTCGCGAATTTTGTCTGACACAAGCCGCCTTCTCGTGCGTGGATGGACATCCTTGCGGAGTCGAGTGCCTTCCCCATCTCTGTCCGAGGATTGTCTCAGATCCGGTGATGGTGGCTTGGCAAGGGCACAGAACACGGTGTACTCATTTAATTTGCATCCATGTCATTCATTAGGACTCGTGTGACAACTGCCTCATCGAGTGCCACATTGACGAGGCCCAGACCCCGACCCCTCATACGAGTCTCGAGTTGAAGGGGATGGCATGCATTGCCATTCTGGTGAAGCCTTCTGCTGCTATACCATTTCCTAAGCAGGCCTCGATCCCCATCCAGACACGTTGCGATGGCGATGGGCACTGGTTCAGTGGCCGTGGCAAGCATCGACATCGCCAGCAACACCCCCAGCATAGCAGCGGCGCCCCCCAACATCACAAGCAGCACCACGTGTGTATTCGCGCGCTTTCTCCATGAGTCCTGTTTGTGTTCTTATCCCCCCAGCCCCCGCCCTCACTTGTTCATATGGCCGTTGTCGGCTCCGTGATGATCTTGAAAGGCAAACCCAATCCCAGGTCAACCTTGAAGGAACCCTGAAGCCACCCGAAACCACCATCCAACCAAATCACCACTAAAACTAAGCTAACCTTGTCCCTAAACCAACTAAACCTACCCTGAGCCAGGATGTGGAAAAAGATGGCGGGGATGAAACAACACATGCCAGGGATGTTGACAGCGCTGGTGCAAAACGAGTGGATTGTCTTCGAACGTGCCGTGCAATACAGCAATACATTTCAGACGTCTGAAGGGCTCTCTCAAATCCGTTCAAAAAGATCCGCAGAATGGGAAGGCCTGGGCAAGCGGTCCAAGCCTAGACCTCTGCGCAGGTCTTTGCCCCAGGCTCCTACAAACTGGACTCCCTGGCGGTGCTCGCACGTGTCGGGGATGTGGAGCGCAGGACGGCGCTGACCCAGCGGAAGGACTCGCAGGGTCAGCCGGAGCTGGTGAAATGGAGCACGGCCACCCACGGGGAAGTCATAAGGGATTTCTTTTTGAGGTGCTGCTGTTGGAGGGACTTCTACACTTAAGCACGGCGTGTCGTAGCGGCCCTGTTTGGTAGTTGTGGCTCATGTTGCGGGACGATGACGACAATGGTTGGCTAAAATGACGCTGGCTTCCGTGCAGGAGGGAAAGTCGCCAAGTGAAAGCCAGGAGAGGGATTGCACAGTCAGGCATCGTCAGCTCGCTTCTGTTTTGAGCGGCCGGTTTTTCGTCGAGCCAGTCTTCCAGGAATCACTGGAGTCTGGAGCTCCATGATTTGCCACATCAACCGCTCCGGACCCTTCATGGCTCGAGCGCCCGACTAGTCCAGTCAGGCCTGGCCGTGGGCCGTCCCGTGTATCACAATGCAGTCTTTGGTGCTCCTTGTGCTTGCCGTGCCTTTCTGCAATGCGGCCTCGCTGCGGAGTGGCCGTAGTTTAGTGGCTGCGGACAAGATGAGTACGGAAATGAAGCTGTTGATGCCAGAGAAGAAGACACTTGCCTCGGATTGCCTCACTTTTTGGATCCGGTCTCGGCTTGGGAGGTGTCATGGAGGTGTCATAGTGAAGAAAGTTTAATTACGAAGCTTCTTTTCCTCTAAAGGTCTGAGCCTACCCCAATGATTAAATCTAGTTTGCCAGAAGCGCCTTCTCAAAATTATTTTCCCCGCTTATCGCCCTTGATTTTTTAGTTGCTTGTTGTTCAGCTCTGCTCAATTTATGGTTTGCTTTTCTTGCTTTTTCCGGTCTCCTCCTCGCTTGTTGTTTGCTCTTTTCTTCTTGTTTTTGTCACCATGCTTCTCCCTACTTCACGTTTTCCACACATGCTCCTCCTCGCTTTTCTGCCCACTGTTCTACCATGTCTCCTTGCGTGCTCACCCAATCGCCTCAATCACGAAGCTTGCTTTGCCAGTGTAGCCCGCGTTTGCGCAAGGACTCTGGACAGCATTGAGGCCTCGGTCTTGAACATGGCAAGAGCCCAGAAGTCGTCACATGGTGCTACCAACCTCACCGGATTCCTGGATCAGATTCAGGAGAAGGGGCCGGAAACCTGAAACAGGCACTCGAACTGGTTTGCCCAGAAATGGAGCTGCACGAGTCTTTGCTGTGTGTCTTCACTTCAATTCGGGTTGGGGGTCGGGACGGTAAGTCTTGCCAGGAGCTCATTGACAAGACCATGAAAACGAACATTCTGCAGCGCCAGAACCAGACCCAGCTAGACCTAGACATGGCATGGGGCAATCTAAGCACTTGCGCGCACCCCAATGATACCGACTACTCAAGCGAGCTGAAGGCCTTGGACGATGCCCATTCGGCCTGCCGCCAGGAAGAAGGCAGCATTTGGTCGGACTACGACAAGGTCTGCACCGAGGGTCTGAAGATCCATCTTGAAAACAAGAGGATCAAATGCGAAAACTATGACGGCGTTTTGCCCGACCCGGCTGCCACCTGCGTCATGAAAGGAGGCACTTTATCCCCAACCATCGGCCATTACCTCATCGACATGGAGAAAGTCTTCCGCGAGAAGGCCCTTGCCCTGCGGCAACTGAGGGACGGGTGCCAGAATGCCTCCGTGCCTTTTCCTTTCACCGACCCTTGCGGCGAGAAGCTTTGCACCTATCATGACAAGAAGATTGAGTGTGAGAAGGCGCAAGGGGCCTTCGAACAAAGATCCTGTGACATCCACAAGGCTTACACCTGCGCCGCCTTCTCCGGCTGCTACTCCCAGAAGACCGAGGCGTATAACGGCGTCGTGGCGCTGGCCAGGGAGAGCGAGGCGGCCGCCAAGGCGGAATGGAGGGCCGTGCTCAGGATCGAGTGCCTGCTGAAGGCTTTGACCGTGACTGAAGATGAGGTGGACACAGCCATCAACGCGTGCAAGGCAGGTCTGGGCCGGATCTGAGCGCACCTCCCTGAAGATCTTGAAAAAAAAACACGCGCCTTAGCAAGGTGGAATGGCAGAAAAAGATCCTGGAAATGTGATTGGGGGAGTGTGCCAACACATCGGTTTTGATGGATGCGTTATCTTCCAGGCAGCTGCCAAGAAAGGCTCTCAGCTCTCGGGGGGGGGGGGGGACCGGGGAACGTGTGCAAAAACAGGCCCTGGGGAGCAGATAAGTTTGCTTGCCAACCGCCTTGTCAGCGGGACTCGCACAGGCCAAGAGCCATTCCACAGAGCCCGTTGAGTTGACCTACCGTGGTGATGCACCCGCGGCGAGGGCCTGCGAAGAGGCGAGGGGAAATCGAGCAGCGATGAGTTGGGGTCAGTTCCCACATCCCGGCGTGGCAACTTGTTTTTTCTCCTGGTCTTCTGGAAAAAGCGCGTTGAAGAGGGTAGGAAGGACAAACCGGCAGCCGCACCCTGGCTCGGCAAAACACAGAGGGCATGCCCCCAGTCCAAGGTAGGCGACGTGGTCCAGGACCAGTGCCGTGGAACCCCCACGTCGCTTCCACGTCGGTGGCAAAAAGCTGAGGGGCCCAAAACGCTGGCGAAACCCGGTGGTGTTGTTGCCGAGGTTCGCTTGTCCTTCCTTCCTGTACCCGTGTTGAAGGTACTGTATTGTCTAATTATATATTTGTATGAACATGTATACATAATATATTTATAATTAGATATATATATATATATCCATACGCATTGGCTTTTGCCGCAGGTCTTTCTTCAGCCGGGCAGTGCCCCCTTCTCCACTGCCTGGTACAATGGGCTGCCCAGCAGTGCCGGGGCTTCCAGCTGTGCATCGAGCTGCTGCATGGATGGAGACTTCAACCCCGACTACCCCTCGGACGTGGTCTGCCCCTATGTCGCGGGTGTGACCACAATGACCACCACCACTCTGGCGACCACCACCGCAGCACCAGTCAGCATGGCCAGTGACGGGGCAAAAACGGTCCGTTTCAATTCGTAGTACCGTGGCGAGACTCTGACTAGACCGCGCATTGCCAGCTTGCGCGGCAGAAAGGCACGGGAGCCAGCACGGGAGCCAGCTGTGAGAGAGGGGGTGGGTTCATGGGCGCCAATGTTGCATGATGGCTGCCACATGAGTACCTACATGTTCGCACAGACTGGAGTGTGAATTCGACCCTTTCAGGAGCACGAATTCGAGGTCGAGACCATACTCCGCTTGCCCGTGACACACGTCGCGGTCGAGACGGACAGCCTGGAAATTTCAGCTGTGAACAGAAGAGGCCCCAGATGCGAGAGACGGAACTTCAATCGTCGTTGCCGAAAGAGTGCTTTGCAGGCCAAGTCTTCGCGTCCTACTGGCTCTCTTTGCGCTCCCTCATGAAGCAGAAGTGCTCCTTTGTGCAGCAGCATGGTTGCAACTAGGTGGCCTGCTGGGATTGTGATGTAACCTTCCCCACGCCCCTAAGTTTGATGTCAGCCAGGTGGCAGTCGAAGATGAGAGTAAGGGTCTGGAAAACATGGAGGAACTGCCTGAGGAAAGCCTGCAATAGCTGAATGTACCACCACCTTGGTTGAGCATCAAAGTCGGAATTCCAATGCTGGCATGTTGGCAGATCAGCTCTGGTAGCTCAAGCCAGTCATCCATGCCGGACCTGGCCAATCTTGGAACTGTGCCTTGCATGCCTAGCTGCGCAGGAAAGGAAACCCAGTTGAAAGTTGGGGCTTGCCACTGTTTGTTTGAGTACCGCTGCGACTTCTATTTGCGAGAGAATCCAACCTTTGTACTTAATGTTGGACCCTCTTTACACCACCACCCCCCTCCCCCCCCTGTTGGGAGTGGAACCCGTCAGCTGGACCCTTTAGGCAAAATCCTGGGGGTCTCGGAGGGACAGTACTTACTTTAGTACTGCCATATCTACTTTGCCAAGGCCCCCTCTCAGATTCCCAGTGCTGACTTTAGTATTGCCAATTCTACTTTAGTGTTGCCACGGCCTGTGTTTCAGCAGCCCTCAAGAAAGGTCGGACATTGAAGAAGGCCCCAAAACAGTCACATTAAAAAGGCTCAGGGCCTCTTGTGAGCAACCCCTTATGTGCGAATGTTTGCCCTTACTTTTTGTGTAAAGAAGTTATCTTAAAATTGATGGTCTGGGGGCCACTGGCAAAAGAAGAAGGAGGGGCATATATTTTAGGATATTGTTTCCGTTCTTTTTTCCGCTTTTGGCTTATTGGCTTCTTGGCTTTTTTTGGCTTCTTGGCTTCTTGGCTTCTTGGCTTCTTGGCTTTATGCGGCTTTTGGCGGCTTTTTGGCTTTTCGCATCCTCTGCATTCCCAGTTCCTCTTCGGCAGGCGGCGTTTTGGCTTTTGCGGCTTTTCGCTGGTTTATTCGGCTTTTGGCGGCTTTGGCTTTTCGCATCCTTCGGGCTTTTTGGCTTTTGCGCCCTTTCATTGGTTTTTGGATTTGGCTTCCCGCATCATCAGCATCACCACCACCATATTTGAATCATCACTTCTTCGGACATCATGGGGGGAAACCTCCCCCCCCAACCCACCCGCTACTGTTTAGATTGCTTGCACCCCTATTTGAATCAACTCTTCTTCAAACATCATGGGGGGGGGTTGCCGCCTCCCCCCCGTTACTTTTTAGATGTCTTGCAGAGATTGAATTGCACCCCTGTTTGAATCGTCACTTTTTCGAGCGTCCAATTTCGCGAGAAAATGCTGCAAAATACGACATTTTGCTTGCATGCTGGGAGCTGTCGCCCCAGGTCAAATCTGAAGCTGGAGGGTCCAAACATGACGCTGCACACGCAGGCGCTGGTTGACCGGGTCCTGGCAGATGCCGGTTGGGCCATTTGGGGCACAGGAAGCCGGCGGAAATAGCAGTGTCTTTTAGGCTTGGCTCACAGGGGCACGCATCATTGCTTGGCCCTGGATGCTCCAAATGCAAAGTGGGCCTCACACCAACCAGCCTGGTCTTTCTCTCTTTCCCTGTTTCTCTGTTTCTCTCTTTCTCTCTGTCACTTTTTCGTTCTTTCTCTCTCTCTCTCTCTCTTTTTTTAAGGTGTTTTTCCCACCTGAAGCTTATCCTTTGCCCTTTCCTTGCCCGCAAGCTCAGTTTGCTATCCGCACTGCGGCACAGAAACAGCTGATGCAACTCGTCGGGGATGTAATTTTAGCACTCTATGTGTGTGTGGGTGACTTGTGCCATTCTGACCAAAAGTCTCCTTGCGCGAGGTCTCTGTCAGCCTCAAGGGCTTGCGCAGCACCAAGCTGAGCCGGTCGGAGGCAGATACTTGGCGGACATGGCCTAGTCTCCATGGCTTTTTGGCGTCTGGCTTGAGCCAGGAAGGTGCGCAAAGGAACAGACAGACTGGGCTAAAGCCAGAAGAAGCTGTCGGTTGCTCGTTTCTGGGGATGCCTGCATGCCCCAGGACACGAATGCATCGCCCGACGCTGGCTCGCCCCTGACGCACTTTCCAAGCCAGACGTCTGCTTTCCAACTGGACTGGATCAACCAAGTCTATCGCTTCTTGGCCGGCAGTGCTCGCATCCATGCTCTGAAAGATCCAGCCATGTTGCGTCTGTTCAGAACAAAAGGCCTCCTATAGGCATTTCAAGGTGAGAGTAATTAATCAGAATCAGTTGTAGCCCGACATTCTGGAAACAACCTTCCAACCCTTTCTTTTTTTCCAGTGGCGCCTTCAGGAAAGCTGCACCCAAAGATCATGACCATTGTCGCGCGGCAGATGGAGGATCCCTTTGGCGCCTTCACCCAGTCGCTCCGGCTCAAGATGCCCTTGCCATTGAAGGAGCGCCGGGTGCTGTCCTTGGACTTCCCTTGGCCGAATTTTCTTTATGGCTGCGTGTGTTTTTTGGGAGGCTGCCCTGTATTTGGTGTGTTTAAAGGGAGGCCAAAAGGAGAACCACCGTTTTGGGGCGTCCACCAAAGAAATGACACCCCCACATGCCATTCCGCAAGTGAACCTGTTGAACTGTAGGGGTTCTACCTTGTGCAAGTGAATGTATGGATGGGTCGCCCGACGGATTGATTGGCGCATGCCGCTTACATGCACGCGTGTAAGGGCTGCCGCCCCGTTCCGCCGACCCCAGTGCGGAAATGGAGGATCTTTTGATGTACCGTTCCTCAGCCTTCTTCAGCTTTTCGCAGTGCCCAATGGAACAACTGAATTGCATAAACACATGCTGAGAATGACGAGGATAATGGCGATGATGATTATGATGATGATGATGATGACGATGATGACGATGACGATGACGATGACGATGACGATGGCGATGGCGATGATGGTGGTGTGATGCTGGCAATGATGATCATGTGTTCGCATCTCCAATACTGAGGACGAACGTCACAAGTGAAATCTACAGAAGAAAATGAGAACGGCAGCCCAGCATCACCCAAGACAATGATCATGATCATGGAGGTGATGTGATGATGATGATCATCATCATCATCATCATCATCATCATCATGATATATCCTGATTACGCATCCCCAGCATAGCAATGTTTATGATTTGTTGCCAGCGTTCCCGTGCGCCTCCCCTTTTGGCGAGAAAAGGTCGGCGGATATGCGCACTTTATATAAGTGGGCTGAAGCAGGCAGGCAATAGAGACTTGTGGAGGTCGTCTCCGCTTCATGTTAGGGTATATGTTGCATGCGCAGTGCAGCTGGGAACAGCTGCTGCCACGTGCATTTTGACGGGATTTGGGGGTTGAGTGTTTCCTGTGGTGCTAAAATTGGGTGCGGCGCTGGTTCATGATGTGGACATGTTGTTCCACGAAGGTTTGCAGGCCATGATTTCTGCGTTTCGGTCCTCGCTCGAATCTGACCAATTTTGATGCTGCTTCGATTTCTTGCTTAACACCGGCAAAGCGCATCCACGCATCAAAGCATGGGTGGTGACTTGTTTGCTTGTTGGATGGGTCCCGTTCCTGCCAAACGAAGCCGAGGTGAATACCACGGGGTAGGGCTGATATACGTACAGGCGATCAAGACAGTGGTTTTGAGTTGTAAGTACATGAAAGTACATGTTACAGCCTCAGCGTTGCAAGTTCCCAGGGGGTCTTTCGGCAGGACATTCACTTTAGCCACTTTTTGCTGGGCACCACGCCGCCCGAGTTCGGGCCCTTTGAGGCACCTGCCTTAAGCGGCGTTCGGGATGCAAAGACTCCGGTCATGTCGCCTGTGGATGCCCAATCTTGAACAACCAATGTGGAATTCAAGTGGCGCATCATGTGCAGTTCCTAGAGCCAGACGAACTAATGTCATTGGGAGTCTTGAAGGCCTGTTTGGCGACGAGCATCATGTTCCCACACAGCATGCAAGGATCCAATCCTGACTGAAGTTGGTGGCCTTGCCTTCACGACCTTTGTAAAGCTTTCGATTTCAAGTCGGGTGAGGGACTTAAGGGGAAGCATGATGGGCGTAAGACGCGCTGACTGCCGTAGCCAGGTCTCCGAGTGGCTGAGCCCTCGGGATGGCGCCATGGGCGTTGAGCTGCAGGCGGGCTTCGATGGCTTGGTGCACTCGGCACCTGCGTGGGGTGGGCGTTGACTCGGAGCGGGCGTGCAGAGCAGGTGGGCTTCTTTCTGGACACCGAGGCCAACATTGAGTTGAAAGTGTGCCCTGGAAAGATGCGTATGCTGTTCGCAAAACAACCGCCTGCACCATTCAGTGGATGGAGGAGGGCGAAACATGGGAGTAGATCATCCTTGCGAGCTGAGCTGGGATCTTGAAATTGGTGCCACCTGATGGCTAACCCCTTGTGGAAGCAGCTTCTCCATTCTGGGGCGAAGTTGAGTGCGGACTTTGACCGTTTGTGACCATGTTGCAGACTTCGCCCCACGTCAATGAAGCTGGCAGGAGGGAGGTCTGATTTGGGGCACGGCTGAGCCATCGCAGCCCAAGGCGTGGCGCCACCTTGGGAGTGAACCGGATTCGGTTGAAGGGGGACCTACTGATTCGCCTGGAGCCATTGATCGAGGAGCTGCCTGTGGTGGGTGGTGTGGCCCCTTGGAGGGACATGGAGCAGCTTTGCTCCCGGCATCTCGACCAGCGCACGGAATTTCTGGCCACCCCTTGAGGTTGGCAAGCTTACCCACTGCATCATACTGCACCTGCAATTTCAGGTTGTTTGCTTCCTGAACCAGCCAGATCTCGAGTTCCACTACACTGGCCTTGCGCAGCGCGCGGGCCTCAGGTACTAAGCGAAGCCATCAACGCCCTCGAGCATGAGGATTTCAGCACGGGGTGGAAATGCGTCGTTTGCTCTTTGTGGACTCTCCCGAAACAAGGCCCCGATTCTTTTCCCTCCTTGGTTTGGCGGCTGGTGGCAGGGTCCTGGTCGGTTAGTAGGTCGGTACCCTCCGCTTGTTGACAGGGCTGTTGTTCGGGGTGGCCAAGGCCTGAAAAAGGCAATGCCCCACCTTTAACCCACCTTTCAGCGGCTCTGTTGCGGGTTTTCGTGGCTTTTGGCGGCATTTGGACTTTTTGACCTTAACCCCACCCTAAGCCACCACTATACCCACCACCTCAAGCC